GACTCAAATGAAGAAATTAGATTTTATGAGTGTTTTTTGAACGATAGGAATCAATCAGGTGTTCAACCGGACAAAGAAGTGCACGATATCGTAGCGAATGCGTTCGGTGAATGGAATTTTGCAACTCGAAAGATCAAGCGAATGCTGTATTGGATGCCGAAATTGAAGCACAGTAATAAGTATTTGGATCGAAGATGCTTGGAAGGACGGCAAGTTGGTGGTGTTGAATTGGCGTTCATTGCTCTCAAGATGATGTGCAGAGATCCGGGTACAACATTCTCGTATGTTAAAGTATGTTTAGTCGTTCATTTTTGTCGGCATGACCATTCGGATTGCTCGATGAATCGTCTCTTTGCATAAAATAGTTCTGTTGAAAGAACAGTGAGCTGTGAGTGTTTGTGTTTTCATGGCAACGATATCATAGTGAGATGAAAAACATTTGACTATGAACATCATAGTGCTCATTTAAAATGAACGGATCAGGCAAGCCAATCTCACCCATCGAGATAATATCAGTTTGTAGTGAAAGTATTCCGCATGAATGCGGAACGTTTTTTGTAAATATGAACACAATGTGAAGTCGAAACTTTAAATTGTATGATAATTTTAGTGGATAGATTTTTATTCCAGTGTAATTTAGATAAAAGATTCTGAATCACCAGAATCAGACCGATGGCTTGTGTCAGCACAAAGTGTTCTACAGCAGCGAATGATCAGCGAAATGGATCAATCGAAAACATTATATGTGGATGGTCCTAGTAGAGTTTATGTGATGGACAGAAAAGTGGATTACGTTTGGCTTACAACTGATCCAAATCCTGAGCAATACTTTGATAATTTTAAATCTGATTTTGAAGTAGGTTGGATACGTTCGACACAGTGTGTGTTTTCAATGCAATAAACTGAATTCGATTTGAGTATCATTGAAAAGGAAGAGTAAAGTCTGAAATATTATGAAAATCTAGCAGTTTTGTTCATTTTGCTAAGTGACTGTCACCGTTGTCATCAATCAATTTCATTGATGTTTTTCTCAAGCGTATTGTTTCTGAGAGATATGCACACTTCACAATCAATTACCGAACTGTTGCCTTGAAAAATTGTTTGATAAACGAGCGAATTCGATTCAATTTCATTGTTTGTATCTGTCGTTCTCACAAATACTCATAGTATTGCATAGAATTGCTCACTGAAATGAATTGAAAAGAAAATTATTTGCGATCATATGTACTTGATGAGTGATTTCAGGAAGAGGATAATGATTTCGAGAAATGGCAAAGTCGCTGGGATCGGGGCTATTCTGGTGAATCATCACCGAAGCAGTGTAATGTACATGAACAACGAGATGAAACCATTCTTTCATTGGCTGTCTTGGCCAAAACGAATGATCAGTCAGTGGCTGGATGGATCAACCATCTAAACGACTCAAACCCCTCGATGAAAGATCATCAAGTTTTGTTCCGAATCAAGCATCCGCATACCGATTTAGCTCCTACAGAGCCGAATGATTAGAACTGTATAACGTACCAATAAATACTTCATCATCGTTTCACTGATTTAGCTCCTACAGAGCCGAATGATTAAAACTGTATAACGTGCCAATAAATACTTCATTATCGTTTCACTCAAGCAAACGAATTTATCATGACACGATTAAATTCAGAGTGTATTTGATGCGAATGTATCAAAATTCAGCAATCTAACAGTGCAGTTGCATCAGACTTTTATCAGTCGTTCATTTGAGCAGTTTCTTGTCGTTTCACGACGAAGAACCGCTAAAATATCAGTTGGAATGATCGAACAATCACCAAATTTTAAAATTCATAGCATTTTGAATGCAAAACTGTTGGATATAACACATTGACAGTGCTTTATCGGTTAGAAAAAATGCACATCACAGTATTTTAGAAGTATACGTTTCTATCGTTCAACATCATTTTTAGCAACGATTGCGAACGATCACCAGAATCAGAATCAAACTGATTTCCAAAAATCAACGTTTATCGTCCCAATCCAATCATGCCGAAACGATTTATTCGAGTGCGTCGCGTGAGTGCACGTTGATCGTCACTGTGCTCAGTTCTTTTGCCCAGTCCGATATATTTCCATGATGGATCGCTTTTCTTGTAATAGCCACCACCGAACGCCATCGACAAGTCCGATATCAAATGGTTTCTCTCCGAATCGCTCATCTCATATGAATTCAAAACTGCAATAATAAGAACATGTTTAGTTTGATATATTTCAAGCAAAAAATATTCATTCCTTAAGACTTGTTTCATCATTAATCACTTTATTGATAAGTTAGTCCGGTGACAATTGATCACATCGAACAATTGATCTTGCGACGAGCGCATCATCGAAAAGAGTAGAGAGGGTGATCAAAGAGATCAAGTGAAACTCACCTTGAAACAATGCAAAACTGATGGTGATTAGAAGCAAATGTGTTGAGGTGTGATTTCGAGTTACTTGTTGCATACCACTTCCGATCACTTAATCCGAACGATACTAATGACTCGCCGTCGAACTCGTTAGGCTATATAACTAATCTTTGACTGCTGAAGATGCTATGTCATTTGTTTCACGTAGCAATTAAATTCGGTTTTCATCATCTTTCCGGAACGCCTCCCTTTTTCGAATGCTCATAAGGGAAAGCTAATACAATATTTTGAATACAATATTTTCATATGAGCATCATTAGCGCACTTTAATCCGAGTCAATACTTCCCTCGAGTATTAACAACTAGCCACATAGGTGTTGCGTTCATTATTTCCTAGAGTTTGATTTGTGCCCAATTCGAAATATGTAATGACGAAATCGATTTTCGGATTTGATTATTAACAATTTAACTGTATTTTTTTTCACGCAATCACAGCGAAACATCTAACAGAACTGTGACGTTTTTTTTT